CGAAGAAGACGCGCGTCGGCCATTGGTGGATGATGGAGAAGCCACAACCAACTAGCGGGCAGCGGACGAACGAACGCACATACACTGGGCACGGCTACACTACGAGGCTGCTCTTGCTGTGCGTTAAATCAAGGTCCGTGGGCGTGTAAGCCCACCACTTGGTAGATGCAAAATACTCTGTTTTTGAAACGCCATTATAAATATAATTCGGTCCGAGAGCTTGTTCCCCCTTCTTCCTCATCGGGAGATTATGAAGGCGGTATATATACATATATATTAGCAGATATGCGTACAAAGGTCTGTAAGAGGACCCAGTCGTCCGTCCATGTTGCCATTAGAGCTCTCACTCGAGCTTCCACCGTGAGGCGGCTAGGATAAAGGCAGAAAGAAATTACTCGCGAGCAACTTTTTTATCTAAAAATCTTCGTTTTTGCGTCTGTGCATCAAACCCGATTTGCACTAACCCTGTTTATTTGCTGTATTTTAGATTCGGCCGCAAACTCTCCACTGTATGCGACGGCGTTGTTTCCGCTATAACTAACATGGTACTCATAAGCGATCCTGATGCAGCTGCCTCAGTGCGATCGACCTACGAGACGCTGATGCCTCTTCAACGCCAACTCGTCCTTCAGCGTGTCCTCGAGAGGGTGCCTATTCATCATGATAATTTGCGTGTCCTCGATAATATGCTCCAGATTTCACAATCGAAGAACAGCGAACTTCGTTATCGGTGGGTCGCCCTATCTGTTCTGGTTGCAACCATTCGTTCATAATCTTGTTTGCAGGTCGTCGATTAGGCGAATAACTTGCTGTATTCAGGGATATTTATCGATTTGTCTGAGTTTATCTCTTCAGTTTGATGTGAACTTGCTCCCTGCTCGTACACTGTACCAGCTTTTCATCCAAAAATTTTGTTGAACCGTGGCTCATTAGACAGCAGTTTCGTGCGACATCTTTCAAGTCTGTTTTACTGCAGTAGGTGGGTTATGCAGTGACGAAAGTATTATCTCTTTTCGCAATAACTAACGGGATTGAATGATTAAATCTCAAAGACAACTGCTCCACAATCACATTTTCTTTGGAGGGAGGAGGGAAGGAAATAAGACAATCAGCTTCACTTCACTGATTTAGTTGTCTCCTTAGCAAAATGATGGTGGCCCGAATCTAAACTGTTCACGAAAGTGAATATCTAATGCATGTACTAAACGTAAACAGGAACCGTCCAGTCAACCACACACGGAGTTACGTAAGCACAGTCGGTCTCTTACAGCTTACTATGGTGAAATGGAAGATAGGGTCGCCAAATTACAGTACCTTCGACAGTTGCCCATGGTGCATGCGCATACCAACCTCGAAGCAAAAAGGCACCCCTACCTAAATTTGGTGAGGTCTGCTATACGCCGAGAGGGTTCCGAGAACCGTCAACTCTTTCGGCACCACGCACAGACCGGGGCAACCATAAAGTACTACATAAGAAAGTCGAAAGACCCTCTGTGACTGTAGGAAACCTCTGATTTGCATGGGGCTATAAGTGCCTTCCGTACTAAAAATAGTATAGCGTACCTACTCTCGCGTCTTCTATTTAACCATACGTGGACCATTTGTAATACAGGGGAGTACTTATAACTTTTTCATCTCATCGGCTATTGTTTTTTACTGGGTGTGAGTGTTTGTGACTATGGAAGTGATCTGGACGTGGAAGCTCGAACATGCAACCGTGGGGGTAGGCAGGAATGGTGGCAACTTTCGAATAACGAAACAGGCTATGAACCCCGATCACTCCTTCAAGTTCGATAAGGCCAACATTGCCGCGCTAGATGACAATCGTCGACACCGCTTACTACTTTGTCATATTCTTCCGGCCTTCATTTGAAGAATGAGCAACACATCCCTTTCTTTTATATTCAGTCCTGTGATTTTGCCTGGAAACTGTTAATCACCAGTCGGGGATACGATAGTGATGGCTAATTCCTGTGGCAGTACTCGTGAACCTAACTGGTGATTGGCTTTCAATTCAGTAATTAACACTGTAAATAGAATCTCGGTTACTACGGATCAGTGACCTAATGTTCACTATCAATATGTTTAGGGCATGGGAGCGCAAATAAAAATCTCTGATGACGGCTCATAAGCCAGAAATAGCCATTCGGGTCTCCTTTGTCTTTGTTGGTTCCACTCCATCATATATAATATATAAGCAGAAGGACATTACCGAAAGAGAAAAGGGAGAATAGGATGGCCATATATTACTTATTATCCACAGTCAGCTAGTCTGCTGTAGTCTACTGCATTTTGTGCAAAAAACTTTACATGTAAGCTAAACATATTTTTTAAAACTAAGGTTGTTGCTTGTTTCTGAAAATAACTGTGATTCCTTAAAATTGTCTTCAATTCCATTTCAGCAAATTTGGACAACATTTTTCAGTTCTGGAAGTGATGCTTTTTTCACTTTTTTACTTATTCCTAAATTCTTCCATAGCACAATGCATATTAATAAAAAGTTTGGTTCTGTCCTATCTTATTGCATTAGAATGTCCTTCGATATAAACTTACTCATGGTTTAGCCAAATTTAGTGCCTATTTCGTTCGACAACTTTAAATAGGAAGAGAGTTTTTCAAACAAAAGTCTTCCAAATTATTAAATCCACTCAGTTGGTCAAAATAAGCTGTCCAAATATATGCTTAACTACCAAGTTAAATTGCGTCATAAAATGTACATGCAGGGCTCGCCATATCGTTATTCTGTAATTATTAATCTTCTGTCTGTGCTTTTTCTGAATAACTTATTAAAGAAGCGTGTAGTTTACAAAAAAGTATAATTCTAAATGACTTTTATTTAATAAGGTTTGTTTTATACCTTCATGGTAACATATATGGACACTTTGCTTATTTGCCATCTAGGCGATGTGGTAAAACAAAATTCGACCAGGACGTTTCTGTTTATCTATTTTGTGGAAAAAACTACACGGTTAAGCTAAACATACCTTTTCAAACATTATTCGTTCCTTCTTCCTGAACTTGGCTTCACTTGCATCCGAGCCATTTTGGACAAAATTTTTCGGTTATGACAGGAATATATTTTACGCTTTCTTTTTTGTCGGGTCGTAATTAATAGCATAGGAAATTCCTTCGATATCAGGCGACTCCCAGGTTCGCCAAACTGCGAAGGATGCCTTGCCGTTGTATGCCACTTCTAATGTTGTTTACCAA